TATTTGAAACGACGCATAAATTTCTATTTGAAAGGCGATGGGCATCTTTGATTTACTTGATAGTAAGAGAATTGTCAGAAAAGCAAAGAAAATTCATTAGAACAGCTAGCTTTGAAGCAGGCCTGTTACCGGATAATCGGTCCCAAAAAGGGTGGAGCGATTGCCTGGTTCGGTCTATATCTGATTCCCTCACCATGCTCGTGGTAGGCAGTACCAATTGACACTGGTTGCCCCTACATAACCCTGAATCATGATGATCGTTACTCTGTGTAATCCGCGGAGCGTTGTACATGGAAAGTACAATTTCCAAAATTTGCAACTGTTCGTTTAACCTTCTGTGTGTATGTCCACTATGCCCTCACTCCTATGTTCTGTAGTAACCTCGAAATTCCCATTCGGAAGTGGCTTGCTTTTTGAAGCAAGTGAACGTGATCGGATGCTCTCTCTTCACGCATAATACTGTAGGTTTTCTGAGCGTTCCCAGGACCGGCCAAAAACGAAGGGGCGGCATTGAAACTTCATTGGTGCTGTAACGTGACACAACTGACAATGAACCATTTCATCAAGCTACAGGTATTCCACGCTTGAAAATTTCCGCCAATACTGCTGCAGATACTGCTCCCATCGTTTTTTGGTTTTGTTGAAAAACAAATGGTCGGCTCTGAAAGAAGAAGCAGGTTTCGTGTACAGTGCCTTTAAGTCCAAACTAGTACATACTACGTAACTTTGTTCGGGTTGGTATCCTTTCAGACTCAATACCTATACTTTTGCACATACTGAATGATGTCCTACAAGAGACGCCTTTTACTGATCGCGATCGTAACTCTTTGAATTTCGTGTTGTGTAAATACGTGACAAAGGCATTCATGCATGCGCAACAGTTTTCGTCATATTTTCGCCTCAGACCCGATCACACAGTCTCAAAAATCACGCGTTCGTCCGGACGCTTTACTTTTGATCACCAACGTTCACTTTTATACAACTACATAGAACATTTCATGCCGATTCAGCACTTACAGAGAGGGCTGTTGGGCAGAGCAGAGTGACAGATGAAGATGGCAAATTAAGTTTCCTCGGAAAGTTTCTAAGATCTCACCTTACACTTGAGCTTGACGAGAATTTGTCATATGTAGGAGTTAATCAATGTTGTTCGCTTTCTTCACCTCATCCTTGTTCTGTTTTTGATTTTTCTGTCCTCTCGCTTTTTTTAACAGGGGCTTGTACTTGTGTAATAAACAACAATTACAATCACAGTAGAAATAAATAAGTGGGTTACGTCCGCTCTCACTAATGAAGTTTGCAACCGTCGATACCTTTTCTTCTCATGGAATTCCTCCTCTGAATAAATTCACAGTCATTCAGGTTCAACAATGTCTTCAGATGAAGGCGTCGGGAATGAGCTGTACGTTGTCATGCTCGGATCGCCACAGAAAAGCATTTTGGTGAGCGGATTTATTAACAGAAGACTTCTATTTCTGACTGTCGCACATAATCTATGATAAAATTCGGTCTTGAATTTTACTTATTTATTAATATTTATCCAGAAGGAAACAAATTGAACCGACGTCGCTTCCTCAGCGGGAAAGTGGCGTTGGTTCAATTTTTTCCTCAGCGGAGGAGGGAGAGGTTATGGTTGTATTTGCCGTAGGAATGGGACAGTCTGATGGAATCAGCAATATAATCCCAAAAATTGTGTGAAGCGGACTCAATCAGAAATGAGGGATTTTTCAGAATGATTTATAATCTCTTTCGAAAATTTGAAATGCCCGGATATTTTTTGAAACCATGGGTAAGGTATACGATTTTGGGAGGATTTTGGGATTGTTTACCCTTTCTTACTGTAACTCTTTGTCCCGCTATTGCTCGTAATCCATTCATGGATAGAACCGCATAGTTTTAAATGGGATGGGCATGCAGTGCATTTTTAGGGTGAATCGTACTGACTACCAGGGTCAACCATCCGTTGGACAAAGCCAACGAGGGGGTCGTATTCGGCCGACGAAAAGGGGGGGGGGTCGTATTCGCAAGGTCGAAGGCAGTGTCAACCCTACACCAGGGGTTGGTAGTGTTAACGCTTCACGCTGAGTGCTAAGACAGTAACAAGCTTGATGGTGAAAGTGTGTTCGTTATTGTCGGAAGCCTCTGAGGTTCTCAATGGTTGATGGAGAGTGTGAAACATAAATTTCCAAAAAGTAACCAATCGTAGTGTCCGGCCCTCCTATGGTGGGGCGGAGTAACGAGCGCCCTTCCAGAAGGGGGGCATAAAAATTTTGAAATTTGTCCAACGTGACGGCTGACCCTGCTGGCTATGAAATTTCATAAGCGCGTGACTAAACATGGAATGGAATGCTTCTTCCTTGACTTCCCAATTTACGTGTCAATAAGTAGGTGAAAAACTAATCACGTGTGGCCTTTTTCAATGACCACTTCTAAGACGATTACTTTGAGAAAAAAAACCATTGGAAAGGAATAGAGGAGAATATTCGTGCAAATAACATGTATATTTTACCAGTCTACTAAATGTTATACTTAGATGTATACGTGTGCTCTCCGTGATTGCTGCACTTACTCAGAGCACAGGGTTGAAAGGGTTAAGAAGCTTTATTTTAGCCTTGGGTTTCGATGGCCTTCCTCAGAAAACCTAGGCCTCTTTTCCGTGTAATATGTGAAGCGTGCAAGAAACGTGTATCAGTTTAGTCTGTCAATGTATTTAATATTTTCCATTAAATCGACAGAATAGAATCTAATAGAAACAACTATCCTTGAATAAGTCTGGGACATTAATTCCTGAAGGAAATGACCTTCCATGAATAGCCTGTAACTACCGTAACCCAAACTTTTGCTAAAGAACATGTGATGTGCACTTCCGAGTCTTTTGCACAATTTCCTTGATAGACGTACAGCTCTTCACAGAAAAAAATTCAGGTTAGGAAGAAAGTCCAGGGACTCCTTTTCTATTTTGTTCTGCTCTAGAAAATTTCTGGATCGGAAGTTACAATTAGTATAGGACTTTCATGAGACTGCCACTCACGTGGTGGATGGACAGCATCGAAGTTAGTTGGGTACGAAAAAAGCTTCCATTGAAAGGCAGAGTTTACGATGAAAAGGCAGCCAAAAAATTGGAGTAGAGGTGGTCAGTGGTGCAGGATGAAGAAAAACCATGAGAAACGGCCAGAACCCGAGAAATGGACCCTTCCTTGCCCTTGATTTCCGCATTGATGCGACTCTCATCGTGCTGCCTCTTCAACGCTAACGCTCTCTCTGCTAAACGGCTAGAGTCAGACGGCGAGAGAGTGGGCAGGTGTGGCCCTGCTCGGCCGCTAGGGCATATTCTTCGCTGAGACGCTCATCGTCCCGCACTTTCAAGGATCCGCCTGGTTTTGACTAGGTATACGTATTTCCCCTTCTGCGCCCTCCGACCTATTGTGGAATCCTCCTATTGTACTTCAAAAGGCAGGAGCCCTTGCGCTAGCCCTTTTTCCACATTCTTGGAGATTTGCCTTGAAAAAAAAAAGACTTTAACCAAGGTCATTCTTTTTAGGCAATAGATGGGTTTAACACTGACACAAGGAAGGGCAAGCATGCTCGTTGCACAGAGTGTTGTAGCCAAATTCCAATCATCTTATCAATCTTACTTAGCCATCTATCTAAAACATGCTTCGCAGCGAATCAATCATTTTGGATGTGCTGCCGTCGATAACCCGACTCTCAAACAATCCCTTTAACCCCTTTTGAGTGTCGAGGTTCACCTTTACATTCCGCCTCAGTGTTCTGCTGGGTCAGCCGATGTCAACAGCCACCACATTTTTATGGAATATCCATGGACAACGATCTTCATCGAGGGATCGTTGTCATTTGACACTCGACACCACAGTCGTGTCGCGCAAATGTTTAGAAAGGCGTCAATATTCATGAAAAGCGGATCCCGCCACCAAGCGGGATAAACGCTGAAAAAGAAGATCCATGGACGGATTTGCACAAGCGCTCAAGCTGTTCCTCGTCTGAACTGAGCTTCCCACAGCTAGGTCTCACTTCTAAACTGGTCAACCCATTCCGGATCGCCGTCATGTTTGAACCTCCGTAAGCTTTTGTCATTGATCAGTAACCAGTAATTGAGGAGCGTCCGAATATGATGAATTTTGTTCGAAAAATCTTACTGATGAGTTTGCTCCCCCAAAATGTTGAAAAATATTGATATTTTTTTGATGGGACATATTTCAGTTCGAAAAACTCTGCCAAGCTGCTAGTAAGTACGAGCGCCATGTTCACTACCAAGATGTTCACTATCTCACTGTTGACTGTGACGGCAAAGAAGAGCTATTGGAGTTCACCGATCCTGGTCTCGTAAGTCAGCTAACGTATTTATTAAC